TTTTTGTTTCTTGAAATTAATTTATTCTCATTCTACAATAGGATCTTGTAATGGGAGTTCAGCATGCGCTCTATTCAACTCTAACAGAATTCAATGGGAATGTGGAAGACGAGAATGACCTGGAGTGCCTTATTGACCTGCAATTTAGTGCACTCCAAAAGGCAATGAAGATACCTCACAAGGCTTCAGAAGCACGGTTAATGGTATCCAAGAAGTTACTTACTCTATTCAGGACAGGTAAGCTTGGTCCTTTCATTCTTGATGATGTCCCGAATGTCAAGCCTGCATCATAATGTCAATTGAATCTTCCTACCCACCTCTCTTTTTCTGTGTATTAGATCTCCTACCTTTACTCCTTCCCCATTTGTGCTATACGTATTATCTTTCATTCTAAATTTTGCTGTAACTTGTAAGTAAGGATTAATTTAATTTAGGAAGATATTGAGCTTATTTTCTGTAAATGCGGGTAATTTGCCAGCATTTCAGTTCTTAATGTTTTCGTTTCCCCAAAAAGGTTGCACTAGTGGCATATTTGGCTCCTAAGACATCTACCCCATGACCATGGAGTTCAAAGCATGTACAATTTGAAGGATACCTACGTTGAATTTCTTAATTACTCGAAAATTCTGGGTGGGTGGATTAGTTGTCATTGAAGGATAACTGTAATTGTTGGGCCATCTTCTCAAAAGAGAAGATATTAGTAAATTTGATTATTTGGTTAAACAGGTAATAAATTAGCTAACTTTTATTTATGTGGAATAATACTTTTATTTTGGATGCTTGCCCTTTTTGTGAAATTATATTTTATAAAAATAAAGGATTAAGTTCAAGCTAGAGTTTTTGAGCTTACAAAATCAGTATTAATTATTGCATAGAAATAAATAATTTTATTCAGCTTTTTTTTTTGGAAATAATCTTTCCAAATACATATTTTAGAACAATGTAGTTGAGTATATTATTTATATATAACTATAAAGACTTAATTAGTCACATGGTAAATGGGCGTGTTCTTAGTTTTCGTTTTTAAAAAGGTTTCAATTAGGTTATTTTTTTGAAAATGTATTAATGCATTTAAGGTATGTCATTTGTTACGTGGTTTTTTGTAATTTTTTAAAATTATTTGAAAACTTTTTAAACTTTTTTTGTAAAATTTTTATTGTTACATGTCATCACTATTGTAATCCTCATTAATGTCATGCTCTCCAACTTTTTCATTCATTACAAATGAACCTTCCCCAACATTGCCTCTTCTAGTCACGTTTCTTTTTTTTCATTGCATTTCACCTATCCAAAACTGGATTAATGTTTCTACGAACATGGTTAACCTTATCATTCTCAACACTAAACTCATCATCATCATTAGCCATTCTATCTTCTTCACTCTCATCCAGACAATGTTCAGCTGAAGCTTCTACTTCCCCCTCAACCACATTCCCCCCTTCCTCTTCTTCATGAAGATAACGATGTTCATCACCACCATCACAGTCAACCTCTTCCTCACCAATTTCAACCTCTTGTTGTTCCTCACCACCATCACAGTCAACCTCTTCCTCACCAATTTCAACCTCTTCTTGTTCCTTACCACCATCACAGTAACCTGTTCCTCACCAATTTCAACCTCTTGTTGTTCCTCACCACCATCACAGTCAACCTCTTCCTCACCAATTTCAACCTCTTCTTGTTCCTCACCAATTTCAACCTCTTCTTGTTCCTCACCAACATCACAGTCAACCTCTTCCTTACCACCATAACCTTCTTATTGGTTTTCCTCACCCATTTCAACCTCTTCATGTTCCTCAGCAGCATCACCCTCTTCCAGACCCATTCCACCGTCTTCTACAATCTCAGCCACTTCCTCCATGTCCTCTATGTTTCATTCATCGACCTCTTCACCACAACTAAGAAAGTGAACTTCCACTGCCTCACTGGGAACATGTTCAACATAGATTTCTACCTCATCCTTATTCTCCTCTGCATAGTTAGCGAAGTTCAGTGCTTCCCTGTCATCACTCAATAATCTCAGATTATTCATCAGCCTTTCTTTGGACCCCTTCAACCATAGTTTGAAGTCCTTGGACCCCTTCCACCATAGTTTGAAGTCTGCATCATACTTAAATTCTTTAACAATTGCAACTGCTTCAAAATAAGACCAACGATCTGGATCAAGTCCTTTGATCACGTGTACCTCTCCTCCAACATATTTTAGCCCCTTATTACTAACAAACTTCCCCATGTGATGCAAACAAACTTCGAAAACCATTTCTAGACCTACATTCAGACATTAACACTTTACTCACAAATTTTGACCAGCCAATGATAACCGATAAACAAAAACTTACCTTGATACAATGCGCTTGTCTTTCACACCATCGTTTCTTTCACGACCACCGCAAGGACCAACGCAAGGACCACCACAAGGACCGCTTCGAGTGGAAGGTTTCCAGTACAATGTTTCTAGAAACTAGTTTTCCCCAATTCGAAGGTTTCGAGCCCTAATTCGTAATCTGATTTCAATCACCCACACACGTGCCAATCACTTAATCTCATTCCATTAATTAAAAATGCAACGTGGCAGATACTTAAGATAGAAGCGGACAGA